TAGGGTTTAGGGTTTAGGGTTTGTTGTTCAGAAGATGTGTCGGAACATCTTGGGCCAGGCTGCCTACCAGTTGACTGTTTTGTTTGTTTTAATTTTTGCTGGAGATAAATTTGTTCCGGAGTTAAAGTGGGAGCATGTCTCTAGAGAGACCCGCAACTCCTTCCCTGGCTTCTGCGAATTCAGCGGTATAAACCCTAAACCCTAAACCCTAAACCCTAAACTCTAAACCCTAAAGATGAGTGCCGGGATGAACACGGCGAAGCTGCGCATTGCAGCAGAAGAAAACACCCATGCAGATCCATATGTAGACTGCCCCATGGTGAACGGGTTTAGGGCTTAGGGTTTAGGGTTTAGGGTTTAGGGTTTAGGGTTTAGGGTTTAGGGTTTGTGGACAGACTGCGACAGCCCATCTCCTCATTTGCTGCGCTCTGGGCGTCGTTTCTTCCCCTTTACCTCCGAAGAAGATTATAAGGCGGCCTGGAGAGTTAATATCGGGCCGAGCAGACACTACACTCTTATTTTCAACGCATTTGTCTTCATGCAGGCAAGCAGCAGCAGCAGCAGCAGCAGCAGCAGCAGCAGCAGCAGCTGCAACAGCGGCAGCAGAAGCAGTCACTGCACACTCCTAGGAAGTGGACACGCGGGCGCAGTTAGCGACCGCCTCACTCGTGTCACGAGGGTTTAGGGTTTAGGGTTTAGGGTTTAGGGTTTAGGGTTTAGGGTTTAGGGTTTAGGGTTTATGTGTGTGCAGCTGGGGAACATGTTTAACGTGCGGCGTTCTGGTTCTTCTTTGAACATTTGCAAGGGAGTGATGCAATCGAAGATGTTTTTATTTATCGTTTGCTTTATTTTTATCTTCCAGGTCTTCGTGGTTGAGTTAGGGGGCCTACCCATGTCCTGCATATTTGGGGTACAAACCCTCGAGGCTGGTTGAGTTAGGGGGCCTACCCATGTCCTGCATATTTGGGGTACAAACCCTCGAGGGTTTAGGGTTTAGGGTTTAGGGTTTAGGGTTTAAGGTGTCGCTAGCTAGCTAGCCAAGCCCCTTAGCTAGATTCCACACACATCCGTAGCAGTCAAAATAACAGGAGAAGCTGGAGGCCCTAAACCCTAAACCCTAAACCCCAAACCCTAACCCCTTACCCCTAAACCCTAAACCCTAAACCCTAAACCCTAACCCCTAACCCCCAACCCGTAAACCCTACCCCCTACCCCGTAACCCGTAATCCTCAGCTGTTAATGCATAACGCATGCAAGGATGAAGAAGAGGACAGCATTTGTTAGTTTGTTTGCTGCCAGGGAATAACGTTCTTTCAATGGGCTTTATGTTTTCTGCTGGCCGTCGGGTCCGTCGTCGTAGGAGCGCTGCTGCTGCTGGTGCCTTATCATCATCTACCTGAAGCAGGCAAGAAAGAAATCAACTTGCTTCAAGAAAGCCGCAGCATAGCCCTCGCTTCCAGAGGAAGGCAAGCCCTAAACCCTAAACCCTAAACCCTAAACCCTAAACCCTAAACCCTATACCCTAGGGCCTTTTGCTAGATAAAGCGGTTTTGCTGTAGGGGGGAGTGTTGTACACTTAGGCTATTTTAGGCCCCTGCTGCTGCTGTTGCTGCTGTTGCTGCTGTTGCTGCTCTGTTGCTGCTGCTGCTGCTTGATGCGCTGGGAACCTCTGTATACATGCTTACACAAATTGTGTGTGCTGCTGCTCTTGCTGATGCTGTGTTGCTGCTGCTGCTGCCCCATATAATTGCATACCTTTGTGTGTGCTGTTGCTGCTGCTCTGCTGCTGCTGCTGCTGCTGCTGCTGTTTGTACAGACTCTCAGCAGAGCGGCTTACAAACCGCATGGGCCTTTCAAGCTCTTCGCAGCTCACTCAAGAGCGCCGCAAACAAATCATGTGAGGGTTTAGGGTTTAGGGTTTAGGGTTTAGGGTTTAGGTTGTGGCGTTGGCAGGACAGAGCAGCTGCTGCTGCTGGCAGCCGCTCTGAGCTGTCTGCGTCTCCTGCAGCTGTTGCGGCTGTTGCTGTTGCTATTGCTGCTGCTACTACTAGTATTGCCGCTGCTGCTGGTGCTGCTGCTGTTACTAGTGCTATTGCTGCTGCTGCTGGCGTTATTCCTGCTACTACTACTACTACTATTGCTGCTGCTGCTGTCGCTGTTGCTGTTGCTATATTGCTGCTGCTGTTGCTGACGTTCGTGCTGCTGCTGCTGCTGCTGCTGCTGCAGTGAACGACTGCGAGGTACTGCGGTGTCTCCTCACGCTGTGACTGTCTCCTCGCTGCCGCCCCCCAGCAGCACCACGCTGCAGCAGGGCTCTCCCTTATCTGCTGTTTGAAGTTGTAGGGTTTAGGGTTTAGGGTTTAGGGTTTAGGGTTTTAGGCCTAGGTTGCCCAACCCACAGGTGCGGCTTGCGGCTGACGCATATCCGCTGCAGACCCTAAACCCTAAACAGCAAACCCTAAACCCTAAACCCTAAACAAGCCTGCTGCTCATAGTGCCGGCTTTCGTTTTCTTGTATCCGGCGCAAGGGTTTAGGGTTTAGGGTTTTGCTTTGGTGTTTTCTGCTGAGGGGTCGGAGACGCCTCTCTGCGGGGTTTGCAGTGGCATTCAACTGAGGGTTTAGGGTTTAGGGTTTAGGGTTTGAGGGCGACGTAGCCGCCTTCTCTCGCTGACATAAGAGGGATTAAGTTTTTTTTAAACAACAGCATACAAAGAAGAAGACAAACAAACCCACCAGCCTCTAGGGCTCAGGGTTTAGGGTCTAGGGTTTAGGGTTTAGGGTTTAGGAGCATGCTCGCGTCCTCTCTGGTAGCAGCACGAGCAGATATATAATATTTTATAATATAAACAATACTTTTAGTATATACTACGAATGCATTATATATATAGTTATATATTTATTTATTTATATCTGTATTTATTTGTATATGTTTTTGTATGTTATATATATTTATATATGTCGTTTATATATATGTTTATATATATACGAAGACGCACTGAGGGAGTCTGCTGCAGAGACAGACAGAAGTAATAATAACAACAAACCACTGCAGCAGCAAGCAGCAGCAACGAAGAAGGGTTCAGCAGCACAAGTCTTTGTATCTACAACTCCAGCTGCTGCAGCGCCACAGCAGCAGCAACTAAGCACACACAAACCGTATCAGAAGCAGCAGCAGCAGCAGCAACGCAGCAGCAGCAGCAGCAGCTACACAGCAGCATCAGCTACACAGCAGAAGCAGCAGCAGCTACACATCAGCAGCAGCAGCAGCTACACAGCAGCACCAACAGCTATACACCAGCAGCAGCAGCACCACAAGCTACACAGTAGCAGCTGCCGCTACACAGCAGCAGCAGCAACGGTATAAACTTCATTCAAACCTCCTCTCCATACAAAGAAAGGCTGTAGGTCATACTGGGGGCCCCCTGGGGGCCCCCTGGGGGCCCCCTCAAGCAGTGTGCGTATCCATTGGTGTTGTAATACTCCTGCATTTTTAAATATATTTTTTGTTGTTTTAATTGCATTTGCTTCTTCACTGAAGACGAAATTCAGCAGAGTTTGTAGGCAAAACGGCAGAGGCCTGCAGCAGCAGCAGCAGCAGCAGCCGCTGCTGCTGCTGCTGCTGTTGATGCTGCTGCAGCAGCAGCAACTGCGTATCTGTCTCTTTTATCATTGACTTCGAGATTCTTTTTTTTAGTTGCACTTCAATTTAAATAAAATGCAAATAAACATTTAAATTTATTTAATATTTAAATATTGTCTGGGAGCTCTTTAGCCCTCTTCTGGGGGCCCCTCTATACAACTCATCATAAGGCGGCTAGAGCTGCACGTACACCTGAAGTATGTCGCAGCACTTTTTGTTTCTTTCTCGTTATCCTTACCTCGATCTAACGCCAACACTTGACGAGCCGCTCGTCAGTCTCAATGGAGAGCAAGGGGGCCCCCTAGGGGCCCCCCTGGGGGCCCCCCTGGGGGGCCCCACACCCGATACTACCTCAGGTAATAGAGGGGCCCCCTTAAATGAAGAGGGGCTGAAGAGGCTGCTGTGTAAGGCCCTTCAGTCGCCTGATGCTTTTGCTGCTGCAGAAGGAGGCGCAGCTGTTGCTGTCGCGTTCGTGCTGCAGGGCTGCGCTGCCTGCGGCTGCTGGTGCAGCAGCAGCAGCAGCAGCAGCAGCAGTAGCAGTAGCAGCCGCAGCAGCAGCGAGCCGAGGAGTGTGGAAGATGGGCGGCATACCGCCAAGAAGCGCAGAGTCAAAGGGCCTTCAAGGGGCCCCACTGCTGCAGCAGAGGGGCCCTTTGATGCTGCTTCTGCTGCTGTAGCATCACAATCGGCTGCTGCAGCATCATCTGCTTCTGCTGCTACTGCTGATGCACCCTATTCCCAATCGAGCCTCAGCGAAGCCCCTGCTTCCTCAACAAGAGCAGCAGCAGCACCATCACCCGCTCCAGCAGCAGATGCATCAGCAGCAGCAACAGCAGCAGCAGCAGCAGCAGCAGCAGATGCTCGCTGCAGCAGCGGGAGGCATATATGCATTTTCATTGTGGATGCCTTGACTCGCCGCCCTGTGTGCGCATGGCGTCTAATGGGGGGCCCCCCAACAATAGCTGCTGGGGGCCCCCCCCCTGAGGGGCCCCGCTGCAGCAGCTGCGCTGGGGGGGCCCCCCTTGGGGCCCCCTTGGGGGCCCCTGCTGGTACCCTTCCTGGCATTAGCTGCATGCATTTTGCAGCAAGAGACAATTTCTTATGTTTCCGCGACGATGCAACTAAAATATTCTATCTCCTCGACCTGCAGCAGCAACAGCAGCAGCAGCAGCAGCAGCAGCAGCAGCGGTGGTGGCAGCCTAGGGAGGCTCTCATTGCTGCTGCCTTCTCAGTGTTTGCTGCAGCAGAAACAGAAGATGCTGCTGCTGCAGAGGCCCCTAACGTACACACAGGGGCCCGTCTAAACTGCGATCTGCTGCTGCTGCATGCAGAAGCAATAAAGCGGGGGGCCCCCCACGCTCGGGGCCCCCCCAATGCCTCGTCGCAGCCAAAGGGGGGGGGCCCCCACTGCTGCATGCGTTTTCAGCAGTACCCCTGCAGCAGCAGCAGCAGCAACAGCAGCAGCAGCAGCAGCAACAGTAGCTGCAGCAGCATAGAAGGGCCTTGCTGCTGCCTCCAGCTTCTCCCCCCGCTTGCTGATGTTGCTCCTGAAGCCTACAGCTTAACTGCAGCAGTGCTGCTGCAAGGGAGGCAGTTTAAGGTCCTCTGCGGCAGCACAGATCTCCAGCAGCAGCAGCAGCTGCAGCAACAGAAGCAGCAGCAACAGCAGCAGCCAGTTGATGCTCCAGCAGAGCCTGCAAATGCACTCAATTATGATGAACAGCAGCAGAAACAGCAAGAACAGCAGCAGAAACAGCAGCAACAGCAGCAGCAGCAGCAGCAACAGCAACAGCAACAGCAACAGCAACAGGCGCAGCAGCAAGAGCCAGTATCTGCAGTAGCATGCGTTTCTACCCTCCCTGCTGTTGCTGCTGCTGCTGCAGGGCTGCAGCATCTGTGGGGGTGCGGCCTGCAGTTTCTTTCCTGGCCCCCATTAGGTTCTGCTGCTGCTGCTGCTGCTGCAGGTGCTGCTCTTGCTGCTGCTGCTGAGGACCCAGCGAAGTTGCTGGTGAGGCGCAGCGCTGCAGCAAACATTGAGGCTGCTGCAGCAGCAGAACGCATCGCCGCAGCTTGCTGCAGCGGCGCGTTAGCACTGCAGCAGCAGCAACAACAACAACAGCAACAACAACAGAAGCTTCTGCTGCCGCCTCAGGCGAGCGACACACCTGCAGAAGCAGCTGCTGCAGCAAAGGCTTCTGCGGCAGGTGCAGCAGGAGGCGTACCGAGGCCAGCAGCAGCAGCAACAGCAGCAGCAGCATGCAGCAGCAACAACGGCTTCAGCAGCGCAGCAGAGACCCGCGCTTCCTTGCTGCGTGCTGCTCTGCCTTGTGCGCGTCCTGCTGCTGCTTCGCTGCGGCTGCTGCTGGGGCAGCAGCTGACGCTGCTGCAGCTGCGGGGCTTCTACAGGAGGCTGCTGCAGCAGCTGCCGCAGACAGACAGGCCGCTGCTGCTCCGCCCAGAGCCACCAGCAGCAGCAGCAGCAGCAACAGCGGCAACAGCAGCAACAGCAGCAACAGCAGCAGCACAGGCTACCCCGTGCTCCCCTGCTTGTTGCCAGATGCATGCAGCAGCGCAGGGCTTCGTCCTTCTCCAGCATACACCCGATGATCGCCTGCTGCTGCGGCGCCTCTGCAGCAGCAGCAGCAGCAGCAGCAGCAGCAGCAGCAATGGAGTACTGTGCAGCATTGATTTTAAGTCGGTCCCCTCGGAAGCCGTGCCTGTTGCTGCTGCTGCAGTTATGGCTGACTCCGTGAAGGGGGCTTTGAGGGGCCCTCTTGCTGCAGGAGACAACGAGGGTCTCTGCAGCAGCAGCAGCAGCAGCAACAGCAGCAGCAGCAGCACGCTGCTAGCTGTTGACTGCGATGCCCACGGACTGCATGCGCTGGTGCAGCTGCATGCGGGGGGCTTTGGGCTGGCTTGGTTAGTCTATCGGCAGCAGCAGCAGCAACGCCCTAGGGGGAAGCAGCAGCAGCAGCAACAGCAGCAGCAGCAGCAGCAGCAGTACAGCTGGAGTGTACATGCAGCTGTGCGCCTCACAGGGTCCCCGCCTCTCCGTTTGGCGGCCTTCGGTCGAGAAGTCTGCGGCACCAAACATCTTGCATGCGCCACTGCAGAGGTATCTGCTGCTGCTGCTGCTGCTGTTGCTGTTGCTGTTGCTGTTGCTGCTGTTGCAGATCCCGGTTTGGAGGTTTGCTGCTGCAGCAGGTGCATCGAGTCTATCTGCTGCTCTGCATGCATTTTGCTGTTTCAGGGCGGTCCTGTGCTGCTGCTTGATTGGTTTGAACTGCTCTCCCCATCTTTGCTGCATCAGCAGCAGCAGCAGCAGCAGCAGCAGCAGCAGCAGGAACAGCAGCAGCCAACAACAGAAGGAGAACGTATGGGCCCACTTCTTGCTGTAGTCAGACTGCCGCCAAATCATCTGCTTCGCCGCGTCAGTGGCACCCTTAAACCCTAAACCCTAAACCCTAAACCCTGAGCGCAGATAGCATACAGCGGGAAGCAGCAGCATTTGCAGCAGCAGCAGCAGCAGCAGCAGGGTGTTTGTGTGTGCGCAGATGGCCTTTTGGCCTTCATTCGACGCTCTGATCCTCCATCTTCGCCCTCGCAGCAGCAGCAGCAGCAACAACAACAGGAGCAGCAGCAGCAGCAGCAACAATAGGAACAGCATTTGCAGCAGCAGCAGCAGCGTTAGCAGCAACGGGTTTCGTGAGGCCCCCGTTTCCGCTGCAGCGGGATCAGCCGCACCAACCGCAACAGGAGCAGCAGCTGCACCAGCAACAACAACAGCAGCAGCAGCAGCAGCAGCAGCAGGCGAGGCGCAGCTGCGTGTGCTGCTGCCACCCAGCGGACGTCTGGGGGATCGCGCTGCAGTGCACAGTTTTATTTTATCTGATGGATTGCTCGAGCAGCAAATAAATAAACAAAATACAGCAGAAGGTCTCCAGGGATGCGTAGCCCACCTATTCAGACAATTTAGACAAAAGGCACGACCTGCTGCTGCTGCTGCTGCTGCTGCTGCTGCTGCTGATGGTGCTGATGCTGATGGTGCTGCTGCTAATGCTGGTGCTGCTGTTGCTGCCATTACTGCTGCTGTTGCTGCTGTTGCTGTTCGTTCTGCTTCCCCTCCTGTTGATGCTGTTTCTGCTGCTACTCCTGCTGCTGCTGCCGTTTGTGCTGTTGTTGCTGCTGCTGTTGCTGGTGAAGTCTCGTTTTGTCTTCACCTTTTATTTGTTTGTTGGGGTTTACCTTTTGCGGTGTATGCGCAGGTGTGGGGCCCCTCATGGCTGCTTGCTGCTGATTGCCTCGTTCGCAGCAGATTGCACTTTGTGCTGTCTCTGGAGCAGAAGGGCCTCAGCAACCCTCTGCAGCAGCAGCAGCAGCAGCAGCAGCAGCAGAGTCTCCTGAGTCCGCTGGTGCTGCTGCCTGTGGGCTCGCCTCTTATACTCGCCCCTCAAACAGCAGCAGCAGCGGCACTGCCGCAACAGCAGCAGCAGCGGTGGGAGGAGATAGTGTGGCAGCAGCAACAGGAACAACAGCAGCAGCAGCAGCAGAAGCAAAAGCAGCAGCAGCAGAAACAAAGGCAGCAGCAGCAACAGCAGCAGCAGCAACAGCAGCAGCAGCAACAGCAGCAGCAACAGGGTGGCGATGTCGCTTGCTGCAGCGGAGACACTTCTTCTTCCTGTCTCCTTTCTAGTGGCAGCAGCAGCAGCAGCAGCAGCAGCAACCCCAACACCTGCGAGTATAATAAAAATTCATGTGGGCCCCTATCACAATATATCGATATGCTGTGGTGCAGCAGCAGAGACTCTGTCTCCTTTAGAGAGGAGCTCTTCGGCTGTACAGACACCAGCAGCATCAGCAGCAGCAGCAGCAGCAGCAGCAGCAGCAGATGGGGAGAGGGACAGGTTGTGTGGCAGCAGGCTGATAAGGGATGGGAGGTGAGGGCCCTGGGGCCCCCCGCCCTCAGCAATTGGGTAGCTGCAGTTTTGTCTGTAAACTCAAACAGATAAACAGAGCTGCTTTAACTTTTAATGGAGACAATCGGGCGTCAGCTACCTACTATGCCAGCATGCAGCAGCTGCTTTGCAAGCTTTAATGAATTCGTAGCTAGCTAGCTAGATAGATAGCTAGCTAGCTAGCTAGCAAGCTTTAATGAATCCGTAGCTAGCTAGCTAGCTAGCTAGCTAGCCGGCTACTGTGCATATGTCTACGTAGCTAGCTAGCTAGCTAGATAGCTAGATGGTTATTGCGTGCACGTAGCTAGCTAGCTAGCTAGCTAGAGAATCAGATGTTGGCCCTGTAGAGAGTGCCTTGAAGAGGAGCAGCAGCACCAACAGCAGCAGCACCAACAGCAGGAGCACCAACAGCAGCAGCAGCAGCAACAGCATGCAGAAGTATTTTTAAAGATATGCAGATGTTTATGTATTATTAAAACGGCGTACACTAAGGGCTTAGGTAGTGAAGCCCCACGCCCATGGATGCCTGTATGCATTCATCGCTAGCTAGCTAGCTAGCTAGCTAGAGGGGAGGTTGCGTCTTAAGCACAAGTTGGTTTGCCGCCCCTTCTCTGCCTATTTACCAAAGGGGTCACCTTAGGGGCCCCCCCAGTGGGGGCCTTAAGGGGGGCCCCCATTTGGGGCCCCTACGGGGGGAGCCCCAGTGGAGGCCCCTAAGGAGGGCCCCCTAAAGGGGGCCCTCCTTAGGGGGGTCTCCCAGTAGGGGCCCTTCAGGGGGGCCCCCATTTGGGGCCCCTAAGGGGGGCCCCCTAAAGGAGCCCTTAAGGGGGGGCCCCTAAAGGGGGCCCCTAAGGGGGGCCCCCAGACGGGGCCCTTGAGGGCCCCGTCTATGAATGGGCACTGGAGATTAGGAGAGCTGTTGGGGGGCATCAGTATCAGCAGCAGCAGCAGCAGCAGCAGCAGCAGCAGCAGCAGTTGCTGCTGCTGTTCCTGTTTCTCCAGCTGCAGCAATAACTCTTCCTGCCTTAACACCATTATCTGCTATCACAACACCACCATCATAATCATCATCATCATCAGCAACAGCAGCTGCCGCTGCTGCTGCTGCTGCTGCTGCTGCTGCTGCAGTTAACCTGAAGTGAGGGACTCGAACCAGTGAAGCAGTTTATCCCACAGCGACTGCCCACTGTCGTCGCGCACGAGGCCTAAGATGAGGCCAGCAGCAACAATAATAACTGCAAGCACTAGAAGAGTTATAAAACAACCCCAGCACATTATTGTTTATCTTTTTAATGCTGCTGCTGCTGCTGCCGGTCTTGCTGGTCTTGCTGCTGCTCTTGCTGCTGGTGCAGCGCTTGATGCGGCTGGTGCTGCTGCTGTTGCTCCGGTTGCTGCTGCTGCTATTTCTGCTTCTGTTGCTGCTGTTGCTGCTGCTGTCGCTGCTGTTGCTGCTGCTGCGGGGCGACTGTTGAGTTAGGTGGGTGCGTAGAGACGGTAGAAGGAGGCGCGAGGAGGGGCCCTTCTTTGAGTTATTAAATTTTTGTTATATCCTAAGAAGACAGCAGCACGAAGGCATTACTATTGACGCGTATATAGAGCGGGTTAGCAGCAGCAGCACACGAAAGGCAGGCGCTGCAGCTGCTGCAGCAGCATAGAAGGAGGTTTGGGGCTGTTTAGGAGATGCATGCAAATAGGGTTGAGTTAATAAAACTCAAAAAAGAAGCAAAAAAAGAAGAAAAATGCATGCACTTACAATAGCAGGCAGGTGACTATACACCGCAAGTATAGAGACCAGAGTTCTTTTCGCGGTAAATCAGAGTTAAAACTCCTGTTTAATAGTCTTTAAAAGGCTCATTAAACTCAATTAATTAATTTAAATAAAGATAAAAATAGTTTTACACATTGTTCTTATCTATTTATTAGATAGAAATGCTCTTAAGCAGCTAGCTCTAAGCATAAGGGGGGCCCCTACAGCAGCTTCTGGGGGCCTCTGTATGTCTGTTGGTGTTTAATAGGTGAAAATAAAAAGAAAAAGAATTATATAATTGTTTGCATGCAGATATATATAATATATAAACCTATTTCAAAGAAAAACAACAACGAATAACACACAACCTGCATATACACCGCAACGACCACACGACACAGGGGCCCCCCTTATTTAATAGCAGCGGAGTTAAGCTGCATATACACCTGAAGAACTCATACACTCCAGATTTAGGTGTATGTGCAGCGGTGAACCTGAGGAAATAAATAACTCATCAAACCCTCAACTCAAACCCCCTCCCCTGCACGAGCAGCAGCACTCCAGGAGCAGCTGCAGCAGCAACAGCAACAGCAGCAGCAGCAGCAGCAGCAGCAACAGCAAAAGCAGCAACAGCAGCAGCAGCAGCGGAAACAGAAGCAGAAATAACAAACAAGATTATTACTGCTCCACCAGCACACGTATCCAACACCAAGACACGCCCTAAACCCTAAACCCTAGGTACACCTCCCCTATAGATGACACCGCAGGGCCTTAAACCCTAAACCCTAAACCCTAAACCCTCGAGTGCAAGTATCTAGCCATCATCATGTCTCCCTTAGCGCCTTCAGGGACTCCCCCTCTCCAGGAGCTCCCCCCTGCGCCGCAGCAGCAGCAGCATCGAAAGCATCAGCAGCAGCAGCAGCAACAGCAACAGCAGCAGCAGCAAGAAGAGGAGGGGATTAGGCTAGCTGATTGGTTTGCTAGCGAATGTCTTAATCCTAATTTCTTTTTATCTTGCTGGGAGAAACAACACAAAGTTTGGCGGGCAGAGACCCTCAGCAAAAACCCTATTGGTCCTCAACTCATCAACCCGGTAAACCCTAAACCCTAAACCCTAAACCCTAAACCCTAAACCCTAAGGGTTTAGGGTTTAGGGTTTAGCTGTCTTTCTTTAGAACGCTCTGGTTTCCCCCGTGTCTCTATTTTAGCTGTCTCTTCGGTTGGGGTGTATGTGTCTTTGTATTAATATTTTATTTATGTTTGTCTTTGTTTTTTATTTGTTTTGCTTCTGATGTTTATTCTTGTCTTTGTCTTTATAATTATATTTATGATGTCTTTGTCCTTATAATTATATTTATTCTTGTCTTTGTCCTTATAATTATATTTATTCTTGTCTTTGTCTTTATAATTATATTTATTCTTGTCTTTGTCTTTCTCTTTATTTTATTTTATTTTCTTTGTCTTCATTTTATTTTATTGTCTTCGTTTAATATATTTTATCTGTTTTTTATTTAGTTTGTTTTATTGTTGTACTTTGTTTGTTTTATTTATTTATTTTGTTTTGTTTATCTCTGCATTATTTTTAATGACTATTTTAATATTTAATTTATTTATTTAATTTATTTATTTAATTTATTTATTTAATTTATTTATTTAATTTATTTTGTTTTATTTATTTTTCTTAATTTGTTTAATTTAATTTATTTTGTTTTATTTATTTATTTAATTAA